TCCACAAACCATGGTCAGCTTGCCGGCGGAGTGATTTCCGCCATTTTCTACCCCTTACCACCAGGGTATAAGCAGTGTTGTGATGCGCATCCAACTGCTTCCAGTTTGCTCTGATTCAGTTTGGGTTAAAGAGCAGTTGCTTCTAACGAAGAGCAGATGTGGCAGTTTCCACTTTTGTTTCATCTTCATATCCTATGATAGACTTTGTTTTGACCTCTGTACCGTTCAGCTCAGACCTTAACACCAATAGACAGTTCGACGGGACACTATGCGACCCGAAAGTTCGCGTCCATTTGTAAAGGATGGCGCAGGGCGTCTAACTTTTTAAATGACGATCCCGCTTTTCAAAATCCTAGAGTGACGGCTCTAGCAAACCTCTAAGGCGAGCAACGGATCTTCATCAATTACTGTATTGTCTAATGTTGACTGAAAAGCGTCGAAATTCAAGGCGCCTGTTGGCTCTTAATGTTTCTGGCCTCCTATCCGAAGCTCAAAGACCATTCGTAATTCTTCTGACGCCGCGTCCTCACTAGTTTCGCCGGCTTTAGCGTGCATCTGAACACAAACCTCGGGATAACGGATTTCAGTGGTCGCGCTTATTATTAAATAACAAGGCGCATCTTCAAAAATGTTCAGTAGGTACCCACAATTCGCGGGACGCTTAGAACCGAAGTCCTAGCTCTTTCTTGTTTGGAAAACCGACGACTTCTGAGTTCTACGTGTCTTTGGTGTCAGCCGTGTTATTTAATGAAAATATCATTATACTAAGCGGATTACATTGACAACGTCATCAACACTTAGTGCTGTTTGTAACATACAACGAGAATTTTAAGCTTTTGACTTTTCCTTGTATCTATTACGGCTAACATAGAGCAGAACTAATTATTTTCCACAACTCGCATACGAACGAATGTAATCGGCACACTTGTTTGGAAGGTTTGTTGTACGGACAGGTCACTCCTTTCTCCATGGCTAAAAAGATTAACGCAAGAGCCTTCTTGAGGGCTGTTTTCAGCCACTGAATGATCTCTATTGCAGTACTAATTAGTTAGGCGTGGTACAAATCGGCCCGTTCAGAAATTCGACGAAAACATCTTCCTAACAGACTGAAAACCTTCGTCCTTTGTTGAAACGGTGATGAAAGATGCGGTTAAATGGAAATAATTAAAAAGTATATTGTATATCACACTCGTTAAGGGTATGCTCGCATCCAGACTCCTAAAGAGGAGGGCGCTATCGGCTCTTGTGTACTGAAGGATACCTGACGATATGCATATTTTCGGTGTTGTATATCCTAGTTTCAAATATTCTGAAGTATGATAAATTAGTCCTCATAAGTGGTGACTTTCATCGCGCGCCGCACACAATGAGTGTAACACCAACGGTTTGGACATGCATGAATTCATAGTGAGACAGACTTGCACAGCGCCTAATGCACTCCTCTCAATTAGTCATCGCTCTGCTGCTAAGATCATTTAAAGAAGACTGAAGACGGGCGAAGTGACCGACCAATACAAACGGCTTGCCTCCGCATGTCAGATTAATATATAGCCATTAGGGCCCGACTCTCAGTCCTCGGGTCATTCGAAAATACTAAATTGAGAACTGAATTATTTCTTCGGTTGGCAACCTACAACGTGCCAGTCATTGTAGATGGGAATTGATGCTTTAGCATAACGACGGATTACCTAGTATAGGCCTCACTTTGGAAGTGCATAAATGTGCAGATGATTGTTCTGGGCTCAATCTAAGACGCAAGTCGAGTGAGCGGATCCCAAATAGGTTGCATGTGCCGCGGAATCTCTTCGGTAGACACCTCACTTCATGTTGGTAGTCAAGCCACATAAAAACCATAAGCTTAAAGTACAACTCAGAGATACTGCCCCGGCCAGTCAAGTCCTAGTACATATGAACGAGTCAAGTAAACAATCAGTCTTCATACTAATCTTTTTCACTTGGTGGTACATAGATGCAGTTCCTCACAAACGCGTGAGCATTGTTCGCGGACGCACAAGTTCCTTCAACCTCGCATTGATGACTAACACCTCGGGGTTTGGCATAGCAACCCCTCCAAACGATGTCTTCCTTCTTCAATTAAACAGGACTTGGTTCTGGCTTAGACAATTTAGGGGCATACTCTATATTAGAAGCCAAACCGGAAGCAATAGATAAACAATGATGGAAAAAAATCATCCACTTGCTCATCTTACCGCTAAACACAACCAAGCAACTATATCTTAGGTTTAGAAAGTGATAAATCTGTCGGAGTATAAAAATTGAATACAAATATGCCACACATCTTAGAGGATTCACAAATGACTTGGATGCGAACGTATTGCATGCCAGACAGGTCGAACATAGACACTAAACGACGGACAGATGCACATTCCGAACAACGATACCCTCAGAAAAGAAATTAATTGGGGCAGGAAGGAGGTAGCATCAGAGAGACCAGAAAGACTAGACAGATTGTTGTATGAAAAAATGAAATTTCAATAAAAAAAATCAACTGGATGGAGGCCGACGTTTATGAGTTTGTTTTTTTTGTGAGGTTGGTGGTCCAAATATCACATCGAAGAAAAAAACCTAAAATATTGGCCTCGTCATTTATAGTGCTTGGCATCAGCCAGTTATAATTAACGAAATAAGCTGAGAGGCCGCAAAAATGCACCTGGATCGCGAACCTGGAGCAAACCCCATGATTACATTATAACAGTTTTGGTAAAACTTCGTACGCACCTAGACCGAACGAGCAAAGTAACCAAACTCTAAACTGTCCGTCTTTTTAAGGCGCTCGAAGTTGAAATTAGGATAGGCGGTACTGAAGTTTATTGGGACACGGAGCAAAAAGTTCCGAGACGGCGCCAACCACTAGAAACAACCGGAGCCCTTGACATAGCTGCAGCGATTGGTCGTCTATGAGAGCTCCCCACAAGGAAGCTGTCGCATCGTCTCTCTCGGATCCACCCTTCGATGGCTCTGTCATCACGACAAGCTTCCAGTAGAGAGCCGCTGTCGAAGAAGAACTATGTTACCACCTCCGGTCCTTTTGGGCGGCTATCCACCGCCGATTGCGGCCTGGGAACAACAACTCCCGAGGGTCACTCGCTATACCTTGGCTCAACTACGCAGTGACTACTCAATGCTCTTTCGCCAGTAACAACAGCGGCTCGACCCGTCCACACTCGACTGTACTCCCAACGGCGGCGTTTCTCCGTATGACCGTCAGCATATTTTCGCCTGCAGTTCCCAAACAGGCACCCAGCTCACCCCCGTGGACCTCTGGCTCAAGCCGGTTGAGGTCTCAGCTTTTCTCCGTCTTCCTACTACAACCAGTTTGGACTCCAGCATAGACTCTTTACCCAACAAGGGCTACAACACACATAGAGCAAATGGCACGAGGGGCATTCTTATATACATTTATTTATAAAGTGAATGTATAAATAGTGCGATCTACATAGAAGACAATCATTTTAAAAAATGTGTTCAGAGTGAGGCATAGCGTATAAAGGTACCGAATTTGCTGAAAATCACA